ACCTTGCAAGGATTTTTCTAAAAATTTGTAATATGTCAAGAGTGCGTAAATTACAAATAACATCACCAAGCAGGTACTGCAACAAAACCAATGCCAAGAAAGAATATTACACTGAGGATGATGAAATACACCTAAAATCCAGAATTCAGGAGGCTGCCTGGGCAGGAGGATTGCAGGTTTGAGCCCACATAGTGGCTATATAGCTAGACCATTGGCAACATAGCACGACAATGATTAAACTAAGAAAGAAGGAAAGAAAAAAGGAAGGAAGGGAGGGAAAAAGGAGGAACTGGAGCATTTCTGGTATCCCATAATTCTTTGTGAAGGCTGAGACAGGTACAGGTGCAGGTTCTGTGTCAGTGGCCACCATAAAGCTAGTCTCTAGCCTTTCCTTTCATAGCTGGGCATTTCAGTGAGAAGCCCCTGTAAGTGCCCCTCTAGTCAGTGGATTCTTTTCTTAATGCTATTCCTAATTTCCTCCAGCTGAACACCCCCACCAAATCTCCAGGGAGAGTCATGTGTTATTTACATGTGTAATACATGAGTATTTGTAGACATGACCAGTAACAGGTGACCCATAATGCTATGAGGTGTTCCTTGATGTGCACTGATGTTTTGGAGTAAAATCGTGACTCTTTTCTTATCTCAGGGAACAAGACAAGCTACAGACTGGGAGAAAATATTGCAAAAAACATATACAATGAAAGGCTATTATCTAAATTATACAAAGAACTCTTAAAACCTAACAGCAAGAACACAAATAATCCGATTTTAAAAAATTCACCAGTGATCCAAACAGATAATTCACCAGAGAGACAGACAAATGCTAAGTAAACATGAAAAGATGTTTCCCATCTCAGTTACCAGGGAAATGTAAATTAAAATAACAACAAGGCAGCCTGGAGAGATGGCTCAGTGGTTAAGAGCACTGGCTGCTCTTCCAGAGGACCCAAGTTCAATTCCCAGCACCCGCATGGCAGCCCACAACTGTCTGTAATTCCAGTTCCAGGGGACCCGGCACCCATGGCAAGACAACAATGCACATAAAAAATGACAACAAACCAATTAAAACCCATTAAAATGATTCAAACAGTACATGGGCAATGCAGGACATGCTGGGCTACAAAGGTGCAGATACTGGGGAGCATAGTTTGGCACTTCCCAAACTAACTTCCTTTTAGCACATGATCCTGCAAGTGTGCTCTTTCCTGGCCACAGAAGAAATGAAAAGCTACGCCCATGTGAAACAGCAAATATGTGCTTACAGCACTGTCATTCATACTGTTCAAAACTTGGGAGCACTTGAGATGTCTTTCCATGGAGTGTGCTGCATAGACTGTGGTAAGCCACATAAAGGAATATTACGCAGCACCAAAGACAAAAGAGCTACCAATGATGGGGGGGAGCCATAAATGGAACCAACAGCAAAGGGCTAAGTCTGTGATTCCACTAGATGCCATTCAATAAAAGAGGGCAGCAGGCAGATCAGTGATTACAGGGCCAGGATTGGAAAGGGAGGCTGAGGGTGAAGTGCTGAGCACACAGGACTCTTAAAACGATAAAGTACTCTGGTATTGTGATGATGAATGCATGTCATCACACATTTGTCTAAAACTATAGGATGTACGATGCCAAGTGTGAGCCCCAACGCAGGCTGTGGGTGGGGAAGAGTGTGCAGGCAGTGTGTTTGTGATGAGGCAATGAGGCTAGGAAGCTGACTGATAGTCAGCCTTGGGCATAAGGAGATTGGGATTCACCCTATGGGGCACAAAGAAATGTTTGAAAGAAGAAAGTACTGTGACTGGAATAGAAGTGTGAGAAAATGCTAGCGTTTGTTCTGAGGGATTATGGAAGGAAAGAAGGCTCTTTGTTGAGTGTCATTGAAGAGAGATAAGCAGAAGTTTCTACAAGAGCCAGGGTGACACAGGGAGACTAAAGGGAACAGAGGAAGGCGACCCAAGGCATGCCAGGAAACCAGGACTTAGCTCTTG